AAGGTTGATAACTTCATTGTAGTTGTTGCATGATATAAGTTGTTCTGGAAATAATTTTGTAAAAAAAATTAAATAAAAAAAATTATAATTAAAATTAAACGACGGGGTGGCCGGTCATTTTATTTTTTTTAATTTTTAATTTTTTTAAAAAAAATTAAAAATTGTTTAAAAATTATTAAAAATGCCAACTCAGCTGCCACGTAAACAGATAACCTGCTAAAATTGATGGTAACCTGCTATCAGGTGAAATTGCATACATTTGAAGTGTTCAATTACATTATTAATTTTTTATTTACGACAAGACATCATAAAAGATAAACATATTAGATCAATGATTGGTATGAAACAGTTTACTCACTCAAAGAAAAGTTGATATGAAAAACTTTTTATGGACATACATATTGTAATTCACAATTCAATGTCTGCCACTTGAACATCCATTTTGTTTAAATATTCTTCAAGAATCTTTGTAAAAAAAATAAAATAAAATAAAAATAAAAAATAAAAAAATCACCAATAAGACATACTAGTCACGTATTGCACTATTGTAGAAATATGCAACCAAGCATATAAATATCACGATATATTTATTATTTAAAAAGATAAATTCACTTTTCTAACCAGCAAATTGACATTTAACCTTGAAGATGAAGACGATCGTCAACACATTTAACCTCGCGAGTATACATGCTTATAAATATTATTGTCACTTATTCATGGAATTTGTATTTTAATATGAAGAAAATAATTGAATTTCAAATGATTTTGAATTTTATAATTTGATAATTGTAGAATTTAAACATATTTTTAATTAGTTTTCATGTGAAAAATGAAAACTTGAAAATTTTGGAAAATTAGAGGTGTGAAATGGAAAACAAAAACTTTAAAAAAAATCAATAAAACAACAAAAAAATAATTAGAAAATGTTAAAGAAAATATGTAAAGAAAGAATAATTAATTTGACCAATAAATAATAAATATGATATATATAAATTATAATTTATTAATGGGAAAATGGCACTTTTTCCCCCTATGTTATATGCTTATAGCACTTTTTCCCCCTGAGTTATTCATGCATCCACATTTGCCCCCTCAATTATTATAAAAGTGGCGGTTTTTCCCCATGATAATATTAAATAGACATTTTTACCCTTAAAATACATATTTTATTTATTTCTCTTGTTCAACAAATTATTGTTTATACGTAGGGATGGCCACGGTTCGGTTCGAACTGAACCGAACACTATAGCAATCAAATAAAAAAAAATCGGTTATGATTCATAACATAACCCAATATTTGGGTTTCCGTTTATTAAAATTGTGAAGTGGAAAAAAATAGATTCTGAACCGTGAACCAGAGGTTCAAATCGGAACAACTACTAGCAATAGCTTAAAATTAGAATTATAATATTTGCAAATAGTGTATGTTTTTTTCGTATTTATATTGACTCTCACATATAAGTATATATAATCGCGATTTGGTTTTTATTTTGAATCGTTGTTTCACAATTTCTGATCCAATTTGAACTGTTGGTTCAAACTTTATTTTAAAATTTTATTTTTTTTATTTTTAAAGTATTCTAAATTCAACAATTAATGTATTTTATTTTTTTTAATTGTGGTTATAAATTGTTGGAGAAGTATAATAAAGGAAATATTTATTTTAAGGGTAAATATGTCCATTTAATATATCAGGGAGAAAAATTGCCACTTAAATAATATAGGGGGAAAAAGTGCTATAAATATATAACACAGGGGGAAAAAGTGCCATTTTCCCTTTATTAATTATGAGGATTTCCATAGTCATGTTTTGCTTTATCTATTTTAATTGGGATAAGGATAAAATAATATTTCAAATATTTACGAAAATAGTAATTCAACTATTGAACAAAAGATGTTCTAAATGTTTGGATAGTCAAACACGCTTAATTATTGAGCTTTTTGATTATCTAGTTGTCATATTCTTCTTAAATCCAATTGGTGATAAGTATGTAGACATTACCATTTCAACACATCCCTCCATTTAAGCCATATTGCCACGTCTCGAATCGAGCGACCAACAATCCTCCTCCCAACCTTCGATCACAAAGTCTAGTTGCGCAACATGCCTGACTCAATCCTTAGCCTCCGAGTCCATTATTCCCCCTCCCATATCTTGACTTGGCTCGACCTACGCTCATCCCATTAGGATTGGACTCGACTACTACCTTGCTATCGAATCCTTCTTAAAATCAATTGGTGATAAGTAGGTGGACATTAACCATTTAACATCATTCCTCCATGGTAAGCCACAACGCCACGTCTTGAATTGCGTAGGGACTGAACTCGGCCGACGCCCAACACTAAATATGCAGATACACTTGTAAAAAAAAGTACAATATTGTCATTTTAATATGTTACTTGTTAAAGAACTTGTTTGGTAAACAATGAATTCGTCAATTTTGACATTTTGACCAAGTCAAAATGCCAAAAGCTTTATTTTGTAAACATCGATTTTACTCCAAACCGCTGAAACCCCAAACGCTACAAATAGCCACGTTTAGAGTTTAACGTTTAAAAAAAAAAAGTTTGCATTTTCTCAAAACGCCCTATTAAAGTTCTGGAAGCCTCAAAGGCTTCCCTTCATTACTCATATGATGTGGGACATTGGATTGGTAATGAAAATGGATTTTTTTTTTTTTTTTTTTTTTTTGTAATGTTGGGACAATGACCACTATAATTACCATAACACCCCCCACTTATCAAAACGCGCTTAAATCTTTAAATCATCAGTAATTAGTCACTGTCGTTAGATTAAACTGATTCAACGACACAGATACGACTGCACCGCCGCACCTAATGCCACCGCCGCATATGAACATATATATATATATATATATATATATATATATATATATATATATATATATATATATATATTTCAAATTTTGTTATGTTGTTGTTATTATTATTATTATTAGTATTATTATTATTAGTATTATTATTATTATATTATTGTTGTCTTGTTATTTATTTATTTTTGTTATTTATTGTTTTTTTTTTTTTGAAACAATTGTTATTATTATATAAAATGTCTTTATAGGTCTTTTTACATGGTAATTGCTAATAGTAAACAACGAATTTTACCAAATATCTTTTTACAAATCGCTAATATAATCCGTTGGTCAAAACCGCTAACAGAATCCGCTAACTGTTAATCACTAATCAATCTACTAACTGATGATTGCCAAACAAGCTCAAAATTTGATGGTGTGTCATCCCTGTATAACTTTAAAGTTCGCATGACATCTATATGCCAAATTCATTAGGTAAAAATAAAATAAAATAAAATAAAAAACTCAAAGGTAGCTACAGTTGCCTTCAACTTCTTTATTTTCAAATGAAAACGATGAAGAGGCATCTAACCTATTAATTTTTTATGATATTTTTTGTGAACAATTCTTCATTTGTGAAGAGTTTCGTCATCATATCAAAGGCAAAGAATGTTTCTTTGTATCATGAGAGACTTTTCACATCTCCGATAACCTTTTATGGGAAGAGATTTTAATTTGCGAAAAGTTTCATCTTCATATTTAAAATGAAAATGCCTTTTTCATCTCATATAACTTTATTTGTCTCCGATATAAAGATGGAGGATGAAGAAATGCAATTACCTCTATTTGTTTTATATATTTTCAAATTGAATTAACTAAAAATTTAATTTTTAAGAAGTTTAAAACTTGTAATTGAATTGAAAATGTCTATTCATAATTATTGTTTTTTTTCCAGTACTACTTACTCTATTACAATAACCCACAACCCCCCATAGAGGCGTGCAACCTTGGTGCGATTAGACCACAAGGTCTTGGCCCCATAATTATTGCTTAGTTTATAAATAAAATTAAAGAGTATTGTTCATGGTTGTAAGAGACACTAGACGCTCATCGAACGGTGAATGGAAGCTTCAGTTCCTTAATAATTAATTTTTTTTATTACATTTGATTACAAAAATCATTAAAAGCCTAACCCTAGTCCAAAATTTAAGTCTAGCACAAAACATAAAATTTTAACCCAAGCCAAAACTCTCCGAAGACAAAAACCCTAATTTCCAAGTCTCAAAATTGTATATTTTCACCGATGAAGCATTGTCATCTCTCTTCAACTTCAGCAACAACCATGAGTAGATGACTTCCAAGCAGCGATAATGAGATGCAATGATGAGCTTTGATGCGCAAAGAAAATCAAACCGTCTGACAAGGCGATGGGCTCTGCAAAGGCGATGGGTGAGGCGACGAACTACGATTATGATGGGCAACCAAGTGATAGGCGACTGTGAGTGTGCAAACTTCAACGAATGCATTTGCGATTCACAAAGGAAAAAATGGCAACTTGCCTGATTAGTCGGACGATCGCTTAAATGGGCGCCTAGGTGGCCACCTAGGCCTACCTGTTTTTTTCAACACTAGTATTGTTACATCTCTTATAATTTTTTTAACAAATTATTCACTACTATTTTAATGTGTTTTTATTGTATTAGGTATATTTGTGTATATATATTTTTGGAAAAACAAGGAGGGGTTAAGCCAAACTTAAATAAAACACATATACTCATGCATCTAGAAATAACGTCAGAGAATAGCACGCCCGTTCTTCCTCTCTAAGTAATTTCATTATTGACTCTAGGGGATTCTCGAGCAATTTGAGGTCTCTCTCATGCACCATTGTTTCCTCATCCAACTTGTCGATTGTTCTTGTTCTGTTTAATCTATGAAGATATGTTAAATCTCTACATCCCACTCGTTTGTATATCATGTTTTGTCATCTAATCTTTTCTTTATCTGTCAAATATTTTACTATTATTGCGCAATATTTTTTAAGCGGCACTTTTTTATAACCTTCTTATCCCAAGGTTGAATTCCCAACCCTAAGCGCTTCCATAAAATTTTATCTTTTATCTAGTATTCTTCTTTAAAAACAATTTTGTATTTTGTATTTTGTTATAATACACTCGTGGTCCGTATGTTCTACGAACTTTTAGACACTGTATAATAAATGGTAGATGAGGCTTGAAGGACAGATCGTTGAAAGAGTTGTCTGATAATTTCTCCCGTAGATCAAAATCGACTCAGATTGAAATTCTTTCTTCCTGTAATCTAGGGTCCGAAACCCTAAGCCATACGCTTCCGACACTACATTGACGCATACGTACATTCCTTTCGTGTATCTCTGGTTTTGCTGATCTATGGTTCGTTTCTTATGCCTATAAACCTCTTCTGCTTTTGCTTATTTGAATTTTTCGAATCCATGAAACTTGGAGGCGGTGAGGTTGATGGTGGTTCTGTTTCGTTGATGTTGTTGTAGAATTTGAACCGATCATGACGATTCCAGATTCGATGTGTACGATGATGGAGAACGGATCGATTGAATTTCCCTGCACGCCGGAAGAAGAAAGGAGGATTATACAGGAGCTCACGAACAAGGCCGAGTTTAACCTGAAAGAGGGCGACTTGGTTTATGTTATTTCTACCAGGTAATTGTTAGTAATCTCTATGTTTGTTTGGATTTTTGTTCATATGAGACTGAGAAATGAACATTTTGTGTTTGAATGTTTGGGTTTGTTTGTTTGTTTTTAGAGTACTCGAGCTTGGTATTTTTTGTTGGCCTCAATGCTTTTAGATCAAAGTACCATAAGGTTGTTCATTTAGAAAAAATGATGTTCTAGTGAATTCTATGGAGGATATTCACCCCACATTTACTTGGTTGAGTTTCTTCATTAAGACAATAATTTATTTTTATTTTTCAAATTCTTATGTGGTTTCATATATATGTTCAGGTGGTACACGGCTTGGCAAAGATATACCGGGCAGCCTGTTGGTGCGTATACATTTGATCAGCCTTTGGAAGGGCCAAATACAGCTGAGAGACCTGGTCCAATCGACAATAGTGGTATTATTGCAAGAGGAAGTGATAGTGATTGTGATGATGCACAGCTTGTGAGAACCTTGCAAGAGGGGCTTGATTATGAGTTAGTTCCAAAAGAAGCATGGGAGAAGCTTTTTGAGTGGTAATAATCCTGTGTGGTGCTTTATGTGAATTTCCACAAAATGAAATTGATGTGCATTTTAGTGCTAGGCTGTCACTTTTTGTTGGATTGTTTAAAATTCAATAGCTTCAACTTCATGAAAATGAGTTTAAGAATAGATACTCCCAACTTCTCTAGATGCAATATGTCATTACAGTTTGAATTTTTCTTTGCGCTCATGATACTCCCAACCTCGCTAGATTAATAGTTAGGACAATCTTTGCTCAACTAGTAGATAGATACTTGCAGTGCATTTTGGTATTGGTAAATTTCTAAGAGTTTGGTTCCACTTTTTGTTTGAATTGTGTTGTCCTTACTCCTTAGGTACAAAGGAGGACCAGCTTTACCCAGAAAGGTCATTTCTGTTGGTGATAATAAGCAGTTAAGTGTGGAGGTCTTCCCACTATGTCTCAATATAATTGATTCCAAAGACAAAAGTGAAAAGGTCTTAAGGTTGAGTAAGAAGGTACTCTCTTTGTCTCATTTTACATGGCCTATTTACTAGTTATTTGTCAGACCAATCCTTCTTTCATTGCTTCTTTTCTTTAAAGGTTTTTTATAATTTATAAATTTGGTCTTGTTTTAAATAGAACTTTTAATGAAGTTTCTAAGTATATAAATTTTATTTACTACTACTGGATGAACTATTACAAAAGTTGAATTGTAAAGAACTTTAGTCAAACCTTGTTAACCGAGCCAAACACATAAAATGGGACGATAGAGTCTTACTCCCTGGTTCTAATACTTAAAACAACATGGTTATGCATCTAGGTAAAAGTTCTTATGTTTTGTAATATAATTTGATATCAATCTGTCATTATCCTCTATAAGCACGGTCTGCATGGGCACCAAATATGTGAGTAGTGTTCTGACGTGTGGGCACTACCAGATTGTATGTTAGTGTCATTTTATCGGGAAAACTGGTGAACTAATTGAACTGACTTTTGATGCTCTATATGTAAACTTGCCATATTTTATTGACCATGTTCCTTGCCTTTTGTGTCCCCTGGCTTCAGGATCACATATCTTTTTGTCCTTGTCTGATACAGCACACTCAATATTAGTGCCATTGTTGTAAAAATCGGCATAGGCAAGCATAAACATGTTAAACAGGAATATTATGGCATGTATAATTTCAAAATTTTCATGAGTGTTACCTTTGCCTTGCTTATGTCTCTTTATGAAGATCTTATAATTGAATATGCTATTGTTGGTTTTACACTGTAGTAGCATTTAACTGTTATTATGCATTAGGCCTCTTTGCGCAAACTTTATGAAAGAGTGTGTGGACTTAAAGGGATAGTGCTGGAAAAGGTATGTTTCTATTACAGATCAAGCAGTATTCCTTTATATTATTAAGCACCAAAGGATTCTTTATCTTCAACTCATTCTGTTTCACCCTGCATTTAACAGGCAAAAATCTGGGATTATTTTAATAAAAACAAGCATACATTATTGGCTGCTTCAGACCTAACGCTTGAAGAATCCAACTTGCAGATGGATCAAGATGTAAGTTTGCTATGTTGTACATGCACTCTGGACAGTTTTGACAACTGATTAAGTTATCTTGGTACTGCTAATATGTGGATTGTGGAGTGTGGCAGCCAATGAATAGTATTGGACATTAGATTGATTTTTCTTTTGCTGATACATCTTCGATATGCATGCTGTCAAATCTTTGTTCATTTTAATTTCTAACTTATGGCACATTGTGAACTCATTTTCTAACCTTTTTTTTGGCACTTGAATGAATTGATTATATTAAAAACCTAAATTGATAGAATCCATAAATAACCCAGGTCCCAGGGGTAATGACAAGATGCAAGGTGATTATATATTCCAAGAAGCATTTATACGTTTAACTAACATGCTCCTAGAACACATGAATTAAAACTGTTTGAGAAGGAAGCATCTTGTTACATACCATGTTTCCATTGTTTGAAGCTTTGCATTTTCATGTCCCTTCTTTTTGGCATTTTTGAGGGATCTGTGTGGTGATATAGTATAACGAAATTAGAAAATTGAATGCTTGGTAATATTATGATAATACATTATCTTGTATGTTGATCTTATATGATGTCCTAATAATGGATTATTTAATGGTGCACTTTCTATGAAAACTAGATAAATATCCCTTGTCGTGATGTCTTCTGAGTAGTTAGGTTTAAGTATTTTGTTACATGTATTTGTGGGCGTGTGTACATGTGCATATCACTATTTGATGGTAGCCTGATGGAGTGAACTTCTCCCAGATTCTTCTCGAGGTTCAAGCTGAAGGGGTTCAGCCTCCCAGTTTTGGCATGGATTCTACTGGAAACAACCTGGCATTAGTTCCAGTGGAACCCATGAGGTCATCTGTTACCATTGCAGGTGGCCCTACTTTGTCCAATGGTTTCTCTAATGGGTATACCTCCAGTATACATCAACAGAGTTCTTCAAGCTCCACACTTGGAGACATGGAGGATGGATATGAAAACCAAAGAAATACAACAAAAGGAGAGAGTGGGGGCTTGGCAGGGCTGCAAAACTTGGGTAACACCTGCTTTATGAATAGTGCTCTCCAGTGTTTAGTTCACACACCTCCACTTGTTGAGTACTTCTTGCAAGATTACAGTGATGAGATCAACAGGCATAATCCCCTAGGGATGCATGTATGTAGCTTCTTTTACCTAAAGTGATTTTTTTTTGAGATATGAAGCTGCACTTCATTTCTAATATCTTTTCTAGTTCTACAGGGTGAGCTTGCACTTGCATTTGGTGAGCTATTGAGGAAACTTTGGTCCTCTGGCCGGACATCAGTCGCTCCTCGTGCATTCAAAGGAAAACTTGGTCGCTTTGCTCCACAGTTTAGCGGGTATAACCAGCATGATTCACAGGTTAGAATTAATTGGTTTTGCCAAGGAATTCATTTTTCCTTTACACCATATGTTCTCAATTATTATAGCACACTCAAGATTACCAACTTGTTTCATATTTCATGCGTTTAACCATTTCTCCCTGTATGCTAATTCCAATGTTGCAGGCTAGGTGATTCTTTATATATGTGCATTTCTACACACTTTGAACTTTAGCTGTACATGTTATGGGTATTAGTTGTACTGGGTGCTATCTTCTTGGTGGTCATTAGTATCATATTTGTACTTACCAAAAAAGTCATTAGCCATCATGTAAATCAACCAGTCAGATTTTTTTTGCTCATTTGGGAAAAAAATTGACTTATTTCTTCTTAAAAAGAAATAACCAAATGGAGCTATAGATGTAATTAGTGCATTTCCATTTCCATTTCCAGGATGTGTGCTATGGCCAGTATAAGCTTTCTATTATGCCAATGTAGGGTTTTTTCTTAATGAATAGATGCATTTTATTCATGTAGTAGTAAGCAAACGGAAGAGGTAACGAGCTTTCATCTGTAGGAACTTCTTGCTTTTCTTCTGGATGGGTTGCATGAAGATTTGAATCGTGTTAAGCAAAAGCCTTATATTGAAACTAAAGATTCTGATGGCCGTCCAGATGAGGAGGTCGCAGATGAGTTTTGGAGATACCATAAAGCTAGAAATGACTCTGTAATAGTGGATGTTTGTCAGGTTTGTAGCTTGCCTTCTCCTAGACAAGCTATATTATTAGAAAATTTGGTTTCACTCTCAACTCTTGAACTTCTCAAATTTATAGTCTTATAAGTAATTACATAAGCTTTGACCAATTTTACTGCCCCAAAATGCATCTGCCACTTAAAAATATGACTTTGTTCTTGTTAAAATACTTATGTGAAATTCAAAGTTGTGGTTTTCAGGGTCAATATAAGTCAACATTGTGTTGCCCAGATTGCAACAAAATCTCAATTACATTTGATCCGTTCATGTACTTGTCCTTGCCTCTTCCTTCAACTGCCACCAGGATAATGACAGTGACTGTGTTTTATGGTGACGGAAGTGGCCTTCCAATGCCATATACAGTTACTGTTTCAAAACATGGTTGCTATAAAGATCTCTTACAGGCTTTAGGAACGGAATGTTGCTTACAGAGTGATGAATATTTGTTGCTTGCTGAGGTATATCAATTGCAGTTATATGTGCATATATGAACACACATATCATGTATCTGTATATGCTTTTGAATGCTGTGTGTGATTCCTTGTATCTTTACTTTTCGTGAAGGTTTACGACCATCGAATTTTTCGATACTTGGATAACTCTTCTGATCAGTTGCATTCAATTAAAGATGATGAACATATTGTTGCCTATAGACTTCCCAAAAGAGCAGCAAGATTAACAAAACTGGAGATTTGCCACCGGTTCCTGGAAAAGTAAGCTTAGGCTCTTGGTTTTGCACATTGATGTGATAGAACATTCAATCTTTTCTTTTGTCATTGGGAGATACTTTTTCAGTAGTTCCTCGTACTCATCCTACTCTTAACTTCTTAAGCATGAAGGAACTATTTAATTATGAATGCGACCTTGGTTCAAGTTCTCATTTTTTGCAAGTATAGATAGATTTCTGCATTTTTTAGTTACTACATTATTAACAGAAAGCTCATAATTCTATAAAATATAAAATTGTTTTGCAAACTTCCTTCTAAAGTTCTATGAGTTAATACCATATGACATCCTCCGAGTATAGTGGTTTGACCACGTTTAGTCCTAAACTTTTAAATTGACCATCTGTGGTCCTTCAACTTTCAAATTTAACCATTCGTGGTCCAAGTTAACCACCCATGGTCCTTCAACTATTAAATTTTAACCGACCATGGTCCTTTCAAGAGGACCATGACTAGTTAAATTTCTAAAGTTGAAGGACTGTGGGTGGTTAACGTGGACCACAAATGGTTAAATTTGAAAGTCGAAGGACCACATATGGTCAATTTGAAAGTTTAGGACTAAACGTGGCAAAACCACTATACTCGGAGGACCCCATGTGACATTAACTCAAAGTTCTAAATACTTCCCCTGATCATGTAATGCGCTAGCTTGCCTGTCTCTATTTCTTTCTCTATGTATATATTTATGTATGCATATATCTACATACATATAAATGCCTATATTTTAATTAATTTATTTATTTTTTATAAATGTAATCCATATCACATCATGATAGTAGTATGCTCCTATTGTAGATGTAGCATAGAGAGCTCGAAGGCTGGAGAGAGGAAGCTCTTCTTGACACCACTTGTTACTTTCTTGGAGGACCCTGTGACTGGAGTCAATATTGATCTTGCTGTTGACAGAATGCTTTCTCCTTTAAGAAGAAAATCATACTTCAAGACCCATGATCTTGGGTATAGGGAAAATGGCTCTGCCTCAGAAGTTGTAGAACCAGGGAACAACTGTAGCACCCAGTCTGATTCTATTGTTAAATCTGCAGATGATATAGAACCAGAAGGAAGTTCCCGCAGTGAGTTGTCGTTTCATCTTTGTATAACAGATGAGCGGGGTTCAACCTGCCGGCCAATTGTGAATGATACACCAATAAAACATGGAACTGGTGGAATTGTAAAGGTGTTTCTGGACTGGACTGACAAAGAGCACGAATCATTTGATCCCAGCTATTTGAAGGATCTTCCTGAAGTACACAAAAGCGGACTCACTGTGAAAAAAACTAAGCCGGAGGCTATTTCCTTATTTTCCTGTTTGGAGGCATTCTTGAAGGAAGAACCTTTGGGACCTGATGATATGTGGTAAGTTGGAAGGTACTCGTGTTACTGAAGATTTTTGTGCTCAAAATTTTCCCTATTAATCTTATTGTTGTGCTTTGCCACTTCTAATGCAGGTATTGTCCTCGCTGCAAGGAACATAGACAAGCAACCAAGAAGTTAGATTTGTGGAGGCTGCCTGATATACTTGTCTTTCACTTGAAGCGTTTCTCGTATAGTCGCTGGCTGAAGAACAAGCTTGATACCTTTGTGAACTTTCCCATTCACAATCTTGATCTAAGCAAGTATGTGAAAAGTAACACTGCATCCGAGGGTGCACATGTTTATGAGTTGTTTGCCATCAGTAATCATTATGGTGGCCTAGGTGGTGGGCATTACTCTGCTTACTGCAAGGTATCTGCATTAAGCCCTTTTGTTCTAGAACTCATCATTTAATATGTTTATACACTTGTTTTTGATTGGGGAAGTTGTGTGTTGTGCCTAGGTGTTTCATGATCAGCTCGATTTTATTTCATGGTATTCTATTTCAAATCCTTTTGCAGTTAGTCGATGAGAACAAATGGTATCATTTCGATGATTCCCATGTTTCTGCTGTTGCCGAGTCTGATATAAAGACATCAGCTGCCTATGTGCTCTTCTACCAACGAGTTAAGGTGCAAGAAAACGGAACGACTGGAGGACCATCCCACAGTCATACATCATGAAGGCTTTTGCTTAACGTCTGTTTGCCATAATCTATTATTTGGTGCTTCACTTCTTCGAAGGAACTATCAACTCGAGCAATACTTACACACCAAGCGGGTATACACGAAGTTGTAGCTCACTTGGTTTGCCGCCTTGCCGGTGTATGATGGAGACAATAGAAAGCATGCTTTAAGGTGAAGCATATGCAGTTTTGTGGAGCAGCTAGGGCACAGAGGGATAGGGGAGAGTCTTAATGGAAGCAAGAGTTGTAGTATTGTAGACTAGCAGCAGGGGCCCTTTTTCAGATTTAAAAATTAATTATTTTATCGTTATTCGAAAGGCATAAAATGGTTGCATTTTCTTATGGCTCCGTATTTATTACTGTATTCTTTTGAAAAATGGTAGTGTCAGCAAGGCTTGTAGGAATGTTTGGGGGGTAGGGGATAGAAAAACCATTTATAATGGGTATTTCCTACTCTGATATTGAATTCTTGCAGAGTTTAAACCCCATGGATTTCAAATTGGTTGCACATTTTATTTCATTTTCTTATATATTTGGCTTTTGAATTCAGATTCTAGTCTAATGTCATGAATTTGGAAGTCCCCATGTTGCCAGTTTTAGGCAATTAGCAAAGATGTGCTGATTTTTGCTCACATGAACTTGTCAATTTTAAATTTTAAAATGAGAAATTCATGTATCTAGGAATTAGCGTGGAATCGTGGAGTCGTGGACCTGTGAGCATAACTTCACGAACCTTATTTGATAACGTAGTTAGTTTATCAATTTAACTATTATTAACTGTTTGACTAAATATTTGTTATAAGTGATTGATTAATTAGCTTTTTGCCTCATCCCGCCTAATTGTATTTCGGAAAAACTTTTTGTAACATCTTATTACTGTAAAATGTTAAAATTCAAAAAGTTACTTAAAAAAAATCTTTTGATAAGCTTTTTGAGAAAATCATTTTGTATGTAATCAACTATAATTAACAATTAATTTATAAAATATCTCTTTACAATCAGCTAATAGTATCAACTATTTAACTATAATCAGTTAATAATTATTTACCAAAAACCCCCTAAATAAATAATGTCATTTGGAGGATGAGAAAGACCACCATTAATTTTTTTGACTAATTCCAATTGCAATTGGAGCCTCCTAAGTGGAGATTGAAGCTAATGTGATACAACTCTGAGGTTGTATGGATTACTCTTCTTCGAGTCAAGAGCTTTACTTCAGACAAAGGAGATCAACAAGAGAATGTCACCAGATAATTCATTAATCAGTGCCTTCATCAAATACATATGTATCTATTTATACCGGATAATATAAAACTACCCACTACCTAAGTGCCTGTAACTACTTAAGAAGGTGGTTATCCCACTACAATAATAATAATAATAATAATAATAATAATAATAATAATAATTCATGGTTGTATCACAATGTTTATGTTGACTAACTTGGCAACATCTTAGAGCATATAAACTTGTAAGATTAGGAAGAAGAGAACACAGAAAGATGGATTTGATTTTAATAATTTGTATGATGGAATTTTTTTAAAAAAAAATATCCTAATGAATGTGCTATGACTTTACTATCAGCATTTTTATGAATAGACAGCATCTAAATGCAGTCTGCTAAAGGTAGAATATAGCAAAATCATCTCATCAAAAGTTGGTGGAAATCAAAGCACAAAACCACAAGAGGCCATTATTGTTTATTTATATTATTATACATTTGGCCTGCTCAAGTGCAAAGTTCCCAATATCTTAAAACACCAAACTAGTTAGTTTCAACTCTCTCTATTTACTACCAAAAAACAATAAAGAAAGAGTCCCCTCCATTGGCTCCTTTCATCACCTCATAATGCTCAAGAGCCACCAAAACGCCTCTGCTCTTTCAACATATATAAAACTTTATTAGTTTCATATGCCAGCTTAATCGAGCTTATGGTATCTCATGGAGTCGCGACGTTTTCCTTTGCAAGTGGCGCAATTTCCTCTCCTTCAACCCCGGCCTCGCTCCCAGCAACTCCTAAGTTCAACAGCATTGTTTCCCAATTCTTGGCAGGTCCCTGCAACAAAAAACCAGTTATTAGCACCTTCGAAACTGTACACAAGGAACTGTTATTTCAACCCGGGCAATAAGATTGCCTACCTTCCAGGAAAGCTCTTGTGACATGCAGTTCTGGATCATTTCGGCGAATGCAAGGGTTCCGTACACTGCAAGTGCTCTTTCGACAGTGGTTATCACCTTCAGCACGTCCTCTGGGTCAACAGTTTCACACTGAGCACAAGCAAGAACGAAACTTCGTTACCTCTTGTTATTATTACGAGATAATAACATAATTAATAGACGGATAAAAAAGGTATTATGTCGAGAATCGCATAATACCTTGACGTTGAAATCCCCCATGTGGAACCCTGTATAACCTTCTTTCACGGTGTCAACAAGTCCGCCAGTTGAGGCACAGATGCACGGCTGATAAAATAAGAGAGAACATATTGGTTTATAAGGCCATAAGTTAGACTAGTTAATTGGTTGGATTCAATCTTTTAGTGTGGTTTGGCTCATGTGCATTATAGCCTAGTTGAGTGACCCTGACCCAATCTTAGAATTTAAGAGATAGGTTTAAGTTTGTCGGGTTTCTTACTGTTCCATATCGCATAGCATGCAACTGAATGAGACCACACGGTTCGAATCTGCTCGGGATCATCATAAAATCAGCACCCGCAGTAATCATGTGAGCCAAAGGAACGTTGAACTTTGCCACTCCTCTAGCTTTGTCCGGATACATCACTTCAAGCTGCTCAATCTCCTGCTCAAATTTCTTCTTCCCAGTTCCCTGATCGAAAAACAAAGATTTCATCATTGGTTTCGCAGAAGGGACGGAGGACATAAGAAAAGCATGGATTTAGAGTTCAAATTAGCACTTACGAGAATCACTATCTGAACATCCATTGTAATGAACTTAGAAATCGCAGCATAAAGAATGTCCGACCCTTTCTGCTCTTCAAGTCTGCCAATAAAACCAATCAACGGAACATTCCTGTCGACCGGCAAACCAACTGCCGCTTGAAGAGCTTCCTTCAACAACGGCTTCGCTTGCATAACCTATAATAAAGCATAATTCCAATTGAGCAAAACTCCCGAAATTCAATACCAAATGAGAAGAATGTAGACGAAAAGTGCTGGCTATCTTACAGTTGTGATATCATAGTTAACAGCAAGGTACTTGTCGGTTGCAGGGTTCCACTCTTGGGTATCCATTCCATTACAAATACCAGTGATGCCACAGTCTCGGATATGGGTATCCAATTCCACGCCCTTCGAAACGCTAGAAACAAGCTCCTTGGCGTAGTTTGGGCTCACAGTAACAACCCTATCCGCTTCACGTATTCCAGCTTTCATCCAGTTTATCTTTCTCCCCTTCACCGGCTTCTCATACCTGGCAATATCGAGAACGAATTGAACTCCGAGATCAAGGAGCAAGAATCAAGATACATATTTCATAATCTTAGCTAAAAGCATCTAATTAGTAATTCCTACCCGTCAATAAAATCAAAAGAGCCCTTGTACTCGTCAGGCAGATTCAGAAGAGAAAAGTCTGAAGAGGCGAATCTGCCTTGGTAGGCGATGTTGTGAATGCAGAAAGCAACCTGGAAACAACATTTTAGCAAATAGCGGGAACACATATAAGTATAGTCCTCGTGATTAGGTTAGGATTAAACGTGGAAAACTAGGCATTACTACCTTGGCGTTCATGTAGATTCCTTGCGACTGGTACATGCTTTTCAGATAGCACGGAAGGAGAGCGGTGTGCCAATCATTGGCAATGAAAACAACATCCTCACCTTCATAAACGATAATATTATGTTAAATCTTTCCACACTTAATCTCGAGTACTTCTAAAACCTCTAGAAGAAGAAATACCATAAGGTCCAGTGAAGTATTCGCTGGAGTTAAGATTCAAAACTCTCGGTGCCTCAAGTGCTGCCTGAAACCAACACAAGTTGAAACGCTAAATAACGTGTACTCATGTGAAGCCTAAGATAAACACATAGACATTATGTATTACTTGGCACAACAAACTGAACCGCAACTGGTTGTCCTTGTAATCTTTCCCAGCCATGGGGCCATAGAGCTTAGATTCCGTTTTTCCCCAAACCTAAACAGCACAGATCGAAAGCATTCATGTCGATTAGTAGCTTATAATGAGTCAAAGGATTCACTGGTAACATACACCATAACTCTGGAAAATTCATGAGTCTATACTCTATACTAACCTTCTCCAGGAACATAGGATGATCCACAAAAACACGATCAACTCCACGTTTGTATGAATGGAAGAATCGGACAGGTTCAATTCTGTCTCCAACTTGTAGCTACAAGATACATATAAAGCACTCAATACTTGACTTGTTTATTTGGTTAGACCACAAGATGTCCTAAGCAGACCCTAACTGTAAGAGACGCCTTTAAGCCCGTACCATACTCGGACTAATCCGAGCGCCTAATTATAAGGGGCAAAGTGTTGGCCAGATTGGTTTTCCCATACCATACTAGACTAATCCCCATTCACACGGGGCCGGCCCAATTATAAGGGGCAAAATGCCGACCAGATTGGTTTTCCCATACCATACTAGACTAATCCCCGTTCACACCAAGCTGGCCCAATTAGAAGGGTAAATGGGGCAAAGTGCTGGCCAGATCTGAGGGGGTTCGAACTCTCGAACTCTCGTAAGGGACAAGAGTGCACGGCCACTCATGCCAACCAAGCTGGTTAATACGGTTAATATACTTGACTTGTTGCATAGAAGAAATTTAGCACAAACATATAAAAATGGCAGAAGATTACCTCAACAATCACACAGGTATCCCAAGCATCTTTGTACTGGTCATAACGGGGACACACTGTCATAACCCTATGCCCGCGTGCCTGGAAAATGGATGTGAATTAGCAATGATTCAATCTTCAATTCAACCATGTATGGCTAATGAAACTATAGAATGGAAATGCATCAGAGATGAAATGAAATGTGAGACTTACAGCCAAGGCTGGTGGCAATCCTCCAAGAACATCTCCAAGTCCACCAGTTTTGCACCAGGGACCCACCTCACATCCCACAAAGATCAAGTTCATCCCTCCTTGTTGTTTACACACAATAGTCCCTGCTGCCATTCCACCCTCATTTTTCCTCCCATTTTTGCTGGGTTTCTTGGCACTGGTCCTCAATTGTAACATGTCAATCTTGTTCACAGATCTCAACCCATTGTGAGTCACAGCTTGGCTCCTCAGGGCTAATTGACCCAACCCCACTTTTGATTCTCCAGAAGTGGCACCCCCACCCCCACAGACATGAGAAACAAAGTGTGAGGCAGTTATAGTAGCCATCAGTCACACCACACTACACCCTAGAAAAGAAGGAACAATTAGCAACTCATTTTATAAAGCTCAATAGTGTCATCAACTTCTGCCCATCAGAAAGTAGAGACACAAGACTGGAGCTTTTTATCAAGAACGTAACAAAGGCATCTCTTTTATCTAAATCATCAAGCTTTAGAAAACAACCCATCAAAGATCTTGAATCTAGAATGCGAAAAAAAAAACAAGATTTGGCATGCACTAGCATCATAAGTAGAATCGAAAAAGCAGATCAAAAGAGAAAGCATCACCACGTACTTATTGACAATATATACCATGCAAAAACAGCGGATAAGAGATTAGAACATATGAAAACAATTGGGTATGAATGGGAAGAGATTAAGATTGGAAAGATCCGGAGAAATGCAGAAAATTTCTCAAAATCAGTTACTATTATCACTACCGCTACTATTAACCGAGGTCCAAAAGGGACCAAGAATCGTAACGGCACTCACCGCTTCACTGGAAACTCCGCGGCGGATCAACGGCGGTTATAGCAGACTGTGGAAGAACTGCACGGGTTAGAGGTGAAGAAGAAGAAGCATGGAGAGAGCGGCTACAATTTGTAGCAGTGGGTGGCAACTTGGGAAACGAGGGATGACACGTGGGCGGTGGAGAATTCATGCGGATCCCCAGGGGGCCCCACTGGGTCAGTGGGAATATGCTACGAAATTTGAGGTACTTATTTGCAATTGTGACCCCCGAAAGTGGGGCCCAGTGAAATTTGAGGCCCTTTTTTTGAGGCCCTTTTTTTGAGGATCATTGGGAATATGCTCGAAATTTGAGGCCCTTTTTTTGAAATTGCGTGGAGAGATTTTTTTTGGGCCGTCAACTCCAAATATGGCAATGCGACAAAAGGAGAAATACAAAACTCTCCTTGTGGAGATGACAAGATGGGGCCCGCACTTTCAGATCGCCAGAAAGATGAACGGTGAGAAGTGAGAACGGACGACATTTCATGTGACGTCCCGACCACCTTTTTCTTATTGTTTGCAATACATCCTCTCTCTCTTTCCAAGAAGATTTTTTTTTTTCAATAATAATAATAGTACACATTTTAAAAACCACAACTCTCCTAGTTATAGAAGACTATGGCCCTGTTTTGTAAAATGGCGGTTAGTTGATAGCTGATTGTGTTAATTAAAAGATATAAATAGTTGATAATATTAACTGGTTTGGTAAATTAGCTGTTAGTTGATAGCTGTTTGGTATAATTTCTTTTCTTAAAAAGCTAATTGAAAAAGTTGTTAAGAGTAGTTTTTTTAATTTTAGCATTTTGGTGTTGCAAAAAGCTAATTAACCAAACATTTATATTGATATTTTAACTATATCAAACAATTAATAGTGGTCAAATAAGCCAAAATTGACCTATAAATCAATTTTTTACCAAATAGGGTCATATATCAATGTGTTTGCATGGACCCTCGTTATAGAGGACTATATCAATGTGTTTGCATGGACAGTTCATTTAGTCACGTAAAGTTTAGAAAGGATGATTATATCAATATTATTATTCGCATGGACAACTTAGTTGCTCAGTTAGTCACGTGAAGTTTGGGAAGAATGACTACCAATGTTATCTGCATGACAATTTAGTTGGTTATAAAGATAAAGTTTGAGAAGAATGACACGCATAGACAACTTAGTTGGTTATAAAATGAGTTAATACCCAAAATCGTCCTCGACTATAGTGGTTTTTCTCAATTTCGTCCTAAACAATATTGTCCCAGACTTTTGTGTTTCGCTCAATTTAGTCCCAGACTTTTGTGTTTTTGCTCAATTTAATCCCTCATTTGTTATTCTGTCCATTTAGTGTTAAATAAATAGACAATTCAGTAATTTTAATATTGGCATCTCTTTACTCATAGACATGTGAACTGCGAAATCCCTTTTTTTTTTACGAAGTACTCCCAGAATTACTCCTAAAACTGCGAATATAAAATTTGATTTGCAGGTCCGGGAGTAATTCTGGGCGTAATTCGTACAAGAAAGAGGAATTTCGCACTTCACAAGTTGAAAGTAAAGAGAGATCAATATTGACGTTACTGAATTGTCCCTTTATTAACACCAATTTGACGGAATAACAAATGGAGGACTAAATTGAGCGAAACACAAAAGTCTGGGACGATATTAGGTCACCAAAGTCGTTTAGGACGAAATTGAAAAAAACCACTATAGTCGAGGACGATTTTGGGTATTAACTCGTTATAAAATAAAGTTTGAGAAGAATAATCAGAGATCAAGTTTCACCAACAGTAATGTGGGAGCAACCCTTTTGTGCGCAGTAAGCAAATGTCTAACCTTTGTTATTCATCTGAATTACTATGATATACATCCTCTCAGATGCTCTGTCAGGTTGAAGTGTGAGAAGTTGTTGGATTGAGGATTTAACCTTTTTGGGAAGGACTATACCAATGTTTTAAGAAACAAATACACATACAAAGAGAATGAAAATGAAAATAGGACAATATTCACATATCAAATCAAAGCTTCATCAACGTGCCATAAATTACAGGCCTCTAGTTTTTTATTTTGTTCATTTCCCCTTGTCCAAAAAAAAAAAAAAAAAACATGAAAAATAAAAATCAACCCAGAACCCAATTGGAATTTCAAACATTCAGATTGTGAACAAGATTCATTTTGCCAGAATGCTACCAGTCAATCACTAGAGTTTCTTCCAAGGGGCCATTCTTAGCCCTCTGTCTTCTATGGTACACAATACTCCTAGTCTCACCACTTCACATCTCAGTCATAGTTTAAAATCCAGGAAAAATGGCAAAAATCATCAAAACCACATATTAATCTCCCACTAAAGATTCAATCTCAACCAATAAAAATACTTCTGGCTTACACTTAACGAACTGTCTAAAATAACACAAATGCAAAAAATGATTCATGTGATTTTATCATCATAATAGAATCAGGCAAAGAAATCTCCAGGAATATGCTACATGCACATTGAGTGCAAGGGTCTCTCCAGATTTGGCAGGACACGTTGTACTCACAGTGCTAGTATCAATTGTCCCCATAAACATCCCCTTTCTGCATATTGAACAGCAAGAATCATACATTCATACAATCAGTGCATTAATCAAACCAAACAAGTAATACAAGGATATAATCCATAACACATCTGCTCGACTTATCGGTTCTTTCATTTAGCCAGCTGACATGGAGTAAAGAAATCAAAGAATATAACCTTCTGACAGCTTATGATACAATAGAAACATCTGTAGAAAAGTAAATTACTCTTGGATTTTAGAGGTGAAAATACAAAACCAGGAATTGGTGTGTAAAGCAGGAAGATTGTGTCACCAAACAGGGAAAAAGAAAATTAAGACAAAAATGTAGTTCTCACTTCTCAGTTCATTGAATCAATCAACTAGAACTAACCAAACACAAACACTATCACCCACAGTTCACACAAATCAATGAACATGAAAATTTCAATAAATTAATTAACCAATGCCTCTATCGCTACAATCTCCTCTATTTTGCTTAACACCAGGTATGCAGTGATCATGACCACATGAACCAAATCTGAGTTCACCTATGGGCCGTGATTAGAGTCTCAATGAATCTTAGGCCATCAAACCTTGGTGCAAATTTCTCCCCATTAGATAACTTCTCCAAATTTGACGAAGATGAGCTCTTCCGTAAATCAGTCATTCCATGTTGTTCTGATGGAGAATGGCGATAATATGACTGCCCCTACAATATATATGAATTCTATTTAGAACATTTCAGCCAATAATGTAATCATTCCAAAGACCCAAAAAAAAATCCCTTAAAAAACTCTAATACCATTTGGTTTGGTTTGGTATGATACTGCAACGTGTTCCAAGGAATTCAAGTCCAAAAAAATAGTAATTTTGCAATGTCTCATATACACTGGAATGTGTTAATTAAATCCAAAGAATGTAACTTCGGTATGCTTGGCATATATGTTACTTTCATAAGATTTTTTCATTAATTTCTTGATTTTCCCTTATGTATTGAAAAGGCCTGGGAGGAATTTATCACATATCAAGCTTTCACCTTTTACAAGCTTATGCCACTACTATCATTCTAACAAAATATGTTCTTTATTCTATAGAATGAATTAAATTAAATATATATTTTTTAACCTAAACAAGTGTTAAGCAGTAATACTTAAATAGGTGAAATCTCTTAAAGTCACATCCAAGAAGTCATTTATGACCCCAATTTCTGGAGCATATAAGAGAGGCCAAATCTAATCAAGCCTGAGAAAGGGCTATCCATGTCCCGAATGATGAACATGAACAAGTTCAGAGGTGGACAGGTGGTCAAATTTGATTGGATCCGGTGAACTACATGCCATTCACCTTGCCATAAACAAATTATACAGCAATATGAAGTTCAAATACTGAAACAATTTAGAACTGGTTTCAACAAAGGCGTTCACAATTCAAAGCTTGGAAACTTAAATAATTGGGAGCGTTAATGAATAAAAGAAAAAAAAAACATAACTGAGTAATTACCTCGTTGGAACGAAGGTTGAGGTTGGACTCATTATCACAGGAGGGTGCGGCGAGAGCCGCGGTGGAAGCTGCGAGCACCGAGGCAACGAAAGTACACGAAGCCTTCATTTTTCAGCCGGGAAATGGAAATAAATGAATAGATCTACCGGAGACTCGAACCGAAAGGAGCGAAATCCGACGAAACTACGACGGATCTCGACCCGACTCCGGTGTCGACGACGGTTCTCCGCGGGCACGAGGTAACTTTCTTCCGCTCTCCGTCGATCACTTTTTATAGTTTCTTATATAATATTTAATTATTAAATATATTAAATAAAAATTAAGAGTTTCGTGACCAAAAAGTTCAACTTTTAACTGGATTTAATTTATAATTTTAGTTCCGCGCTCACGTGAATCAGAAAATCAACGCGCCTTTTCACCAATCATTATTGTGTGGATCATGATTTATACAAATTATGTGGACTATATTTTGTATACTATAAATAATGTACATTTTGTACAAAAATAATTTACATTATATTTATGGGATGTACATTATTTTCGTATCAAATGTACATTATATTATTGATAGTGATAATTGCCACGTAATGCGGTAATTAAATAACACAAGACCAACTAAAGCAAGTAAATAACTTTTATTGATCCATGTGAAGGCCCTAAGTACAATCTACTTGGTTGCTCTGAGTGTCGACTGGCTGCGGTCGGGATTCTCTAACAACAACCTATCGATCGTCCAAAAGTCCACCACACTGTCGCTATCACGGGTATTTATAGTCGCGGAGCCGGAGACACAAATCCGGCCGTCCGGCATGCTTCCCACGTAGCAACCACGTGTCGCCTCCCCGGGTGCCTTGCCTGTCAACGCATGGAGCCGCCACGTGTCCCTCGTTAGCTCTCACGCTAAAGGGCTACCGCTCGGTGATCGACACTGCCACTCGGGTAACTCCTGGTTGGATCCCGACCGGGTTCTTCACAAGAAACCCGACCTGTTACCTGCAAAGACAAGAAGAAAAGGACGAAGGCACACCGGTCGGGGTGACGCTTAAGTCGGTA